CATCCCTGCTTGTTGCAGGATTTGGGCATGTTCTTGCCTCCAGTACCAGTATCTATTAGCAGACATTAATGGGCACTCACTAGTTCTGACTAATTTTCTATCTGTGCTAATGCATCACCTTAAAAATCATAGCTTGGTACTAGATGGTTACCTAAAAAACCATTGGGCTATAGCTGACTTTAATGGGAGATTGATGATGAAATTACAGAACATGAGGGTGCTATCTCAGTAGCTATTTTCTACAAAAAATTGTCATAACAATGTAACTGGTGCAGAAAAAAATTGTTAATGCTATTGTATGTATGTATGTAGGAGGATTTACTTGGCAATAAGGATGGCTCTGTATATGCTTTGTCTTTAACTCTCTGAAGTAGCAGTCTCAGAATTGTTCTGTATATCCCTTAGCTTTACTTCCTTTTCCTTTTTAAAGTAGCAGTCTTGGGTTAAATCCAAACAGAACTTAAACATCTATTTAGTTTTTTATTCTTATTTGTTTAGTTCTGCTAATAAAGATAGATGAACTATGCTTCTGTATTCTGGTTGCAGGATTTTCACTTTGAAGTTGGTTTCGTTCTCTTATGCAACCTTTTGTTCTGAACTGTTGTTTTTTAAAATCATGAATCATGTCTTTTGCAGTAATGTGAAAAAGAAAAACACTTTTATTGCTACAAGAGTTGGTGTAAGTTTATTTGTGCAAACAGTAGACTGAGTCTGACCTGTCAGTTTGCCTTTAACTGCAGTTGCCATTTAGCTCTTGGTTGTGATTGTGTTAGTTGTCAGTAATTGTGTTTGCTGTCTCGGCTGGAGGCTGTGATGAAGAGTGCTTGGAACTGGGGCATTACACAGATAATATGATGAAACAGCTGCAGCTTAATCATAATGAAATATGCGTGGGCTTTAAGGGCTGCATATTCTGGAAATTTTTATTACACTTAATTCCCGTGTTTAACCTTTTTAGGAAAAAAAAAATCTCCCTGCAATTAGAAAGAAATGGATGTAAGATTATAGTAGTAAGTATTATAAAATAAATCCCATAACCTCCCTGCTTTAGGGAGGGAACATTTTGTTTGTCTTTGCCCCAGGTGAAGCTGCTGGCAATCTTCTAATTTTTCTGATCTTTTAGATGTCTAGACCTGAATGTCTGATGGTGCACCCCTTTCAGCTGAGGAGCCCGGGGCAGCGTATCTGTGCTGTCGGTCAGTGCTAGTGCTCAGTGCTGTCCAGCACTGCCCCTCTCAGAGCTTAGGCACTCTGGGTGACATCCTCTGCCTTCGGAAATCAGAAGGACTTTTCTGTTTACTCTGGGATTGAAATTTCCCTCTTTGTGCTCAGAAAACAGAGGCTGGGATCTTGAGGGAAATCTGAGTCTATGGCATATGGTATTTTGGGACATCCTTGCAAATTGCTAGACTGATCATTTTCTGTCAAAAGTAATGTGGTGGTTTTTTTTATCTAGGCTGAGCAATGCACTGATAGATTATGCAAAATTAACACTTATATTTTTAAAAAAAAAACGTTTGGCATTGGGTTGTCCAGACCTCTGATTGCATTAAATTGATGACAGGCAAATCTGATTACTAAGGCAACCTGCTCAAACTAAAAACCAACAAGTGAGTAGCAGAAAAGAACAAAAACACATGCTGTTGGGAAGAAATCAAGTGCAGACACAGAAGATAAAATACCAACCATGGAAGCAGTTACCACAGTTGCAGGCAATTGAAGTAATGAGGAATGTAGTTCAAGGATGGCCTTGAATTTCTAATTATTGAGGAAATGGGATCTGGTAGGTCTGTTTCCTAATGCTCTAATTCTGTGAAACAAATCCAGATGAGGTATTCCTAGCAGTTCCTTTCTGTGTGTACAGCTGTCATCTTCAGTTTGCCTCATGTGGATAAAAAGTAACTACATCTGTACGGAAACACCTTCCTTATGTTGGAATGAGTTAAAAAAAAAGTCTCAAGATGATTTTAAACAAAATGCCACAGATGATGGGTGGGACTTCCTATGGAGGACTCGTTTCTCTCTTGCTCTTTTGGGGTCTAATGCTTCACTTGTGTCTGTGCCCAGGCAAACCGTGACGCAGTGATCAGCCGAGCCCCAGACCAGCAGGATGACCGAGCTGTCAGCCTCCGGGATGCTTCTGCAGTCTACGACCTCCTCAGTATCACGCTGGGCAGAAGAGGGCAGTATGTCATGCTTTCTGAGGTACCTCCTCCTGGCTTCTGAAACTTTCACCTGAAACCTGCTGCAAGCACAGCCCCTCTTTGCAGTAGCTTGTCCAGGAAGGTGAAAATGAAGCACACGAGTTGGCAATTAGTGGAAACAGCTACAAAGCTGTGGCAGCACAGGCCAGAAATGTACACAGAACTGTTTGAGATATTAAAATAATTATATGTAGGCACTTGAACAAAGTGATGGTGTATGCTAGCAAGCCCCTTTAACTGAGAAGAGGAAAAATGATGTCCAAAACCAATCACCTGGGCCTTGGGCCACAACAGATTGTTTCCCCTGATTTGATTACTTAGCCAAGCAGCAATCTTAACAAAAGATACATATTTAAAAAAAAAAAAAAATTCTGATATTTCTCCCAATGTTTCTTTCTCAGTGCTTGGAGAGAGCCATGAAGTTTGCGTTTGATGAATTTCACCTCTGGTACCAGCTTGCCCTCTCCATGGTGGCTTGTGGAAAGGTGAGGTTCAAATCGAAGGGCTTGGAAAGGGAACGTTTTCCTCTGGCAGAGTGTATTTAGCTTGCTTGTTTGAATGCGTGCAGTGATGTATTTTGTGGGGATAGGTGCCATCAGACAGCGATGTTGGAAGGACAGTGCTCTCCTTTTAGACTCTGCACTTTATGACCAGGTGTGTACATTTAGTGTTGAGTACTGGTCTTTCCATGTAATGTTTGCTTCTAATTATCAAAGAGAATATGGATTTTGTGCATAGCTGTGGATTGAAAAGCATTGCATTATATAGCTGTCCATCCTCTGCAGGTTCAACATAAACGTGCTTAGTATAAAAAAAATTACTGATGTCTAAAACGATCATCAACTCACTCTATGTCTTTGGGCAGTTGACTTAACCTCTCTTTAAGCTGTGGTTTCTCCATCTGATCAAGGAAATGTAAATACTTTTTCATAGAGAGCTTGCAAGGATTAATATTTTTTGAAGTGCTTGGTGCAAAAGGTACTGTAGAAAAAGAAATTATGAGTGAATGTTTGCATAGACATGTGTTTTTAGCATAAGGTTTTTTGAAATTAGTGTGGTATTTGTCAAAGTTACCAGTTAACCACTGAGATGGTTGAAGTCTGCTTGTGAAAAGTAGGCAGAGGCAGCAGGAGCTTTTCTTTATTAGTCTTAAAAGAGTAGAATTCCTGCAGAAAATATGGACGGTACAATATTTAGCCTGTTCATTCTGGGGGTCCTCACCTACACTTTTAGAAGGTGTGAGCAAGTTAATGCTGTGCGGTAGTAGACCACTTAATATGGTCCTATATTCTGTACCCATGGGGTGTCAGGGAATCCATATGGAACTGGGCAGAGACCACCAACTAGCAGGCATCTGCCAAATGATAACTACTACTGGCCTTTTATGGCTATAAGCTGAGTTGGAAATAGTGGCTTTGGCATGGAAATGGGAGATGAATATACAGTGGCGTGCTTTTGCAAAGAAGTTGTCATCTTGTGATGCATAAGTGGCAGCAAAGCTTGGAAGATATATGAAGGGATTCCCTCACTTCTGTGAGCATAGGCAAAGTCTTATCTTCAAAGGCTTGTTATGCATTATACTTCAAGAAAAAGGCAGAACAACAATAGAAAGTCTAATAAAAGAGCATCAAGGATGGCTAAGGGGATAGTAAGCAGGACTGTGGAAAGATTGAAAGAGTTGAATATTTTTTTACCTTAAAGGGGAGAAAAAAGGCCAAGAGAGAAACAAAACTTCAAGAGCCCTTAGAACAAGGGGCTAATCTTGCCTATTGCGGGTAGGACAAGATGTGATGGCTTCCAGTTGCAGCAACACAAGTTCATGTTTCCTAGTAAGAGGCAAAAAAATAAGGATAGTGGTACACTGGAAAAAAGATTGCCCTTGGAGGTTGAGTGAAGACTGCGTCACTGGCGATCTGTGGAACACCACAACTATTGGTCAGTAGTTACCCCACTGTGAGGCACCAGGGATGTACTTGGTGGGACCTTGCATACTCTGGCTCTGTTCTGGGACTCCAGAGTTATCTCATAGATCGGCTAGATCTGTTATAATCAAAAGGAGACATCAGAAGTTTGACAAAGCGTATTAGATCAGCAGGGAGCTGAAGGGAGATGTTAGTGAGAAAGAGGCTCACAGATTCCTAGAGGAGTTCAGTATAAGCATTTCAAAATCCAATTCCAAGTATGAAAATGATGGCTAGACTCAATCACGTCTAAGTATGTTTAAGTATTCCACCAGTGGCTTTGGGTGGAATACTTAAACAGTGAGCTTGGTGCCACGGTGCTAATACCTTGCACTGGCCTGTGTCAGGTGGGGGGTTTACAGGTCAGGTCCAGTTCCCCTTGGCATTCAGCTGGAGTTAGCACGTTGCTGCCCTCTGTGCCTTTGCAAATCCTCCGGATACCTGATCTCTTGATCCTGAGGACAACAATAACTAGATAGGCTATGATGGAAAGGCACAATATCTTCCTACAAACACTCACAGGACTTGTCTAGGAGCTCTGTTGGCTTTAACCTCTTTCTCAACAGCAGACAATGCTGTAGATCTGGTAATCTGCCAGAGAGCAAATCTAGATTTAACTGCTGATGTTTGAGAGAGTGAGTGTATCCAGAGAGTAACTGTGGTTCAGTCTTAGGTTAGTATGGAGGAGACAAATGGGGCCTGATCTATTGCTTCTAACAATTAGCATGAGAACTCTGTCCTCCTCCTTATATGTTTGCAGACCTCTTCACCTTCCCTAGAAGTTACTGAATATTTGGTACTTAAGAAAAAAAAAAGAGCAACACAAGTATCTGTATCTCTATAACTGTCCTATCTTTTCAGATTTTCAATTGTCATGTCTTCGTATGTGCTTTAAATATGTACAAGATAAAATGGCCTGATCTTGCCTATTGATGTAAAAGCTCTAAATGTTCTGAGCCCTATATGGGGCAGAGGGAATTCCCTTACCCAGCAATCCCATCTGTGCAGTATTTCACTTCTAATCCCAAAGTATTCCCTGAGGATTCCTGTCGTATACTCTGCAATGCGTCATCTTGCTAATGGGAAATGTGGCATACATTTTTATACCGCTTCACAGCTTGATAGCAGGACAGAGTTCATTTAAAAGTAAGTGCTCCAGTGTAGCAGGAAGAACTGATGAGAAAACAGTGTGGTCTGTCTAGACTGCAGAATGCAGAATACACTTGAGCTTTTATAGGTAAAAGATCTGTTTTCACCTGTCTCAGTCACAGCCAATTCCTGATCTCATTTCTTGGTAATGAAATCTCACATCCTGCAGTGTTACTTGTTCTTCAGTACAGCAAATTATGCTCATAAGTCTTGGGTATGACAGGAACAGTTTTATCAACCTGTAAATGCTGGAAACTTTTTCTCTTTTTTGTAACACATTTTTAGGATTTTTAACTCTGACCTTCTTAAAAGTGCTGTAAAATCCTATCTCGCCCTCTATTCTACATCGCATTTGACTGATGTTACTTTTGTTTTGTATATTCATCTTCAGGTTAAGTCAATTGAGTTGCATTTCAAACTATTTTCTTCCTCTGCCAACCAAAAAATTGCCAAATGGTGACTGTCATTTTTCACAAGTGATCAGTCTGAATGTGAAGCCAGCCACCTAGACTTATTACTGTATGTAGGCTTGAATTTACGCATTATTCTAGAAAGCATGTGTCTTAACAAAAATAGGCACATCACTTCAGTAAGTTCTTACAGAGCAAGCGAGGCCTTAGGGCTTCATAAAACAGTGAATGAAAAAGCTCAGAGAAGCATAACCTTCCTGTCTGTCTTCTATCCACTTAAGTGGTGGAAATAATGGAATGACAGCAGTTTCACTTTCCTGTGCTTCTCAATAACTTGTGTAATGAGAAAGATGGTGTGGTCTGGTTGTTTTTTAACCCATTCTTGGGAATGCATGTATACAGAGCTGTATATTTTCTGAACAGAAGGAACATTTTTATTTAAATTATCAAAAGTCTTTCAAATTTCATGGTGGATTTTATAGGCAATTTTAGATGAAGTGCTGGGAAAGAAAGACATAGTGAGAGATGTCCTGTGTCACCAGGTGCAGCTCTGGATAGGCAAGAGAAAGGTTTAAATCAGTCTGATGCAGCACCCCTGTTCTGAACTGGTGCTGGAAAACTGAATGCTGAACTCTTCACAGCTGCCTTAAGTTGCTTCTGCTGGTAATAACCTTTGCAATGTGGTAATACGACAGCCAGAGGCTGAATGGGCATAGCAGCTCCCTGGCTCTGCTGCTGTGCATAGACAGGCTGGAGTCTGAGCGGCGAGTGGTACGATAGCCGGATGCCATCTGGCAGAGTCCTTGGGCAGTGACATGAGCCACTGTCCTGCTGCCAGAGTAAAACGAGTGCAGTAGGTTGCATCTGCTTGTCTCAAGATTTTGAAAAAGTGACCTGTATTCAGCAGAATGGGGAAAGGAAGGACCAAACTCTTATTTACAGAGTAGAGAAGACTTAGTAGTCTTCACAGTAGTGAAGAGAGACACAGCTGTTTGGGGCAGACTTGTTGTCTGCTGCTGCTTTTCAGCTGAACAATTTCCCCTGGAGGTCGTGGAGATTGCCAGCACACAGCACCCCTGCGGACTAGGGTGGCTCTACTGACGTGTCTGAGGTCGAAGAAAAAATTGTCATAGTGTCTAGATGATGTATTACAAGCACAAGGGATGTGAAATAGAGTCCCTGTGCACTTGCAAGCATTTCCCTGGCTTCGGACCAGTTGGATCAGTTACATGTTCCCTTGTTCAGATTTCTGTCCCCTTCCACACCTAACAGCCTCCACGGGACCCAGCCTCAGTGTCCCAAAGTGTCACTGGAGCTCTCTGGGAGTGGAGACTCAGAAGTGCGTTGTGGGATTGGGCTGTAGCTTAAATTGACAGTACTTCAGAAAGTCTTCTAGATCTGCATCGTCAGTGTCTGTCTTACCTGTCACACTGCTTAAGGGAAAGATAAACTGATAAAATAGTGTCTTGAACAGTGTAAGGCAACGTTGATGCCTCTCTTCTACCTACCAAGCAAGGAGACCAGATTTGTATTTAGTGACACTGATGTGCCATTTTCCTGACGGTAGTGAGGGAGGATTCTTCAGGGATAGCTGTGAAATTATTCTGTGAACACTGAGTCTACTTAGTCTAAAAGTGCTGGGTACTCTAATTGAGCCATTCCAATCGCAGCAGTCTTACATTGATCTCTCATGTCCAGTGGATGTGTAATAATCCACATGTGTAATGATCCACATGTCCAGTGGATTAGTAATAAATGTACAAAGTGCATAAAACCATTTTCATGCTCATCTTTAAAAAAACCAAAACCACCAAACCCAAGACACAACACAACTTGGTTAGTGAATTAAAAGCTTTAGGATGTGTGTTTCTTGAGAGGAGGGGTGGGGAGTGATACAGTCTCAGGCCAGCTGAGGGAAGTCTGGAGCATCTGCTAGGAGAGGACAATCTGCTCTTACCCATCACC